GTCGCTATCCTCACTCCCCCCTCTACGAATGCGCGCGCTGGGTGGCATCCACAAGTCTGTGCTCCGGGCGCATCGGAGCACGGCCTGGGGCTCTGTCGTCGTCACTTCGCGCTGAGCAAGTTGCTGAACTTGGCCGCGCCAGTGAAGGAGTCAGCATCGCATGGGCGGCGCCGAGAGAGCTCGTCTCAATGCTCTTCGGGAGTCTGGGCGCGGTGACCTCGTCGACGCGGAGGCCGCCGCCTGCCCGCCCGACGGCGCACCCAAGGGGCTCGCGGATGTGGGCCCGTTCCTCTTCGAGGAGATCCCCGCGGACCGCGCGCAGCCCCGGGGCTGGATAGGCGTCTTGGCCGTCCGGGTCGGGTGCGACGCTGACATCGCGCAGCTGCAGGGCGAGGCCATAGTGTTGTTCTTCAAGCATATCCTGCGTGCTGCTGCCGCAGCTGGGCGGCGGGCGCTGATCCTCGTAGATGACGCGCGTCTGGGGGCGGCCTCCTGCAGGGGCCGCGCGAAGTCCATCCACCTCCAGACGGGGACGTTGAAAGTTGCATCCTTGTCGCTCGCTCCCGGGCGTTGTCTGCGAGAGGCCGGGGTTCCGATGATGCTCTGCCTCGCGGCCGTCTTGGCTGTCTTTCAGACTGCCGAGCCCCCCGCCGCCTCCGGCCCGAGGGCGACGCCGCGGGCGGCGTCGAGGCGGGCGAATGCGAGGGCGAGAGCCCCGCGCGAGTCGCGCGCGCCTGCCGCCCAGCGCCTGACCGCCGAGAGGGGGCCCGCGGGGTCGCTTGCGGCCCTCGAGCAGATCGCCAGTCGCCCGGCGACAGATGTGCTCCACAGTAAAACCGCCAAGACCTTCCTCGATCGCTGCGCCCAGAGGGGCCTTGACTGCTCCAATGCGGAGAAGATGGGTGCGATTCTTGCCCAAGATCTGAACGACTGCTTCCGCCGCGGAGTCTGATGCTACCACGGGGCGCAGTTGCTGGCCAGCCTGGCTCAGTTCTACCCGAGCCCTCGCGGGGCCTGGAAGCCCGAGCGACCGCGGGCCGCTCGCGCCTCGGTGGCCCGGAAGCGGAGGGCGCCTGCAGGCGCCCGCCTGCCGCTGCCCAGGGCCGCGCGCCTGCTGCAGGTGGAGGCCAGCGCTCCGTCGGCGGCTGCATGGGTGGCCCGTTTATTCGTGGCCTACTTGCGCCCCGGAGAGACATTCAAGCTGAGGGGGGGGGAGTCTCTTTCCGCCATCTCCTGCAGCGAGTTGCCAGTATCGCAACTGAAGGCCCCTCTTGCACGACGCAGGGTCTCTGCTGCCGGGCATGACCGGGCTGCGCGACGAGAGCGCGCTGATCGACTTGAAATTCCCAGCTGGCTCCTGCCCTGGAGTACCTGCGAGCGACGGCGGGTGCCGAGGACAGCCTGTGGTCGTTCGCGGCCGAGGCCTTGCGGCCGAGGTGCAGCCGCTGTCTCGGCCTGCTCGGGCTGCCCCAGGTGTCGGGCCATCTGTGCTGCCTGCGGCGCGGTGGAGCCTCGAACGATCTCCTCGCTCGACGTCGCGATGATGTCCAGGTGCAAGTGAGATGCCGCTAGGCGTCGGGATGTTGAAAAGAGACGCAGTTGTTGGCGGAGCTGAGCGCGATCCACGGCGACGTCTTTCGCCCGGGCCATCTCATGATGAGACACTTATGGACCGCGCGCGCGGCGGGCGGGACCGCGGAGGCCAACGTCGGCCACCTCGCCGCGGCGACCTGCCTGCCCGCGGCCAGGGCGGCAAGACGAATGCGCCCTTGAATTCGCATCGTCGCCCTGCGGGGGCAGACGCGAGACAGCCCTGTTCCTTCTCCTTTTCTGAAATTCGAGCCCACCTGCAGCGCCGCTTCATGGGGGGGGGGGCTGAAGAAAGGGGAGGGGCCCTACTGTCCGTCTCGATACCGTGTTATCCTTAGAGTTGCTATTGGCTCTGGATTTTCATCCGAGGCCCTTCGGGCCTTCGGCAGTTCAGCTTTGGACTTTGATTTTAGAAGCTCGCCCGGTGAGGGGTCACAACAACATCACTTGAACAGCTGATTCGTGGTTGGATCTCGGTTGGTTGCATCTCGGGGGTGTTGCTCGGGACTCCGTGTACACCTTGGAGTAGTATTTCTAGGCGTTCACTGAGCTCGCGCGCAATGCCGATGGGGGGGCCCGTGTCACGAGCTTTCGGCGGTCGAGCAGGGGCGGCTCGCCGCCGGGAACGCCGCCTTTCTTTTCAGTTGCCGAATCTTCCAGTCGCGCGCGAGTTACGGGGTTCCCGTATACATCGAGAACCCAGCCTCTATTTTGATTCGGTCCGCGCCAGGAATGATTCAGATGTGGCGTAAAGGTGAGCATCGGTGGCCAGTCTCCACATGTGCCAGTTCGGTACTGGATGGCAGAAGCCCACGCGCATGTCTGATTGGCCTTCTCCTTCACTCTCGCCACTCGCCCGGAAGTGCGCTTGCCGACGGGGGGTCTGCAGTGGAACTCGCGACCTTCACGTCGTTTGTCTGGCAAGGCGCCTGGCGGCAAGCACAAAACAATACCTCCCTGGCCGCTGCGTGCCCCCCAGATTTTCGTTAGAGCCGTCGCCAAGCTCACGATCAACGGGTCAATGCGTTTGTCTCTCAGTCGTTTGTGGGCCCTCGCCTCGGGTTGTGGCGATCCGCCTCGGGGAGGTAGCCTAGTCTTGGGTTGTCCTGATGGTCGGCTGGCCTTGGCTCTGATCCTCTTGGG